CACTATTGGTCCTTTTTCCTTTAGGAACTTTCTTGCCGTAGGTAGTAAAGGTAGAAGCTGAACTTTGCAAGCCACAAGAGTTCAGTTTGTTCAAAGGAGGTTGTAGACAGGAGGGAAGGAGTGGTGAGGGAGTTCTAGAAGAACTTTTGGGTTGGTTTAAAGAAAGTAGTAAGACTTTATTAACCTAGAAGTATTAAAAACTTCTTGTGAACGTCTTTTTTGTGTGTGGTCAGAGGATTAGCAAAAAGAGTATGAGTTGTAAACTTTTATTGAATTGTTAATGAATTTTTGCTAAATAGATAATAAATTATTTGATAAACCATTAATGAATTTTTTAACAAATTGTTAATAAATTATGAATATGTTGATTTTTATAATATTTATAGTTAAATTATATAGTTACCAATTTATTTATATCCTTTTTTTGCTAAATTGTTTATTTTTTGCTAAATATTATATGAGTAACAATATGCTAATTAATTTTTTTGACTAGTAATAATAAATAGATATTATAATTTTTTTTTCTGGTAAAATATAATGATTAATATAAGGGTCAATATTGTTTTAAAAGGTTTTTAATCCTTGGCTATTTTTTAAAATTATATTTGTAACTTTACTACAATACAATATCCTTTTAAATAAAATTTGAATACAATCCTATATTTAAAAAATTTTTATTTAAGCATTAATAAAGTTAAGATTTTATATGAAAGATTGTCAATATTAATGTTATAGAATATCTTAGGTAAATTCTAAACATATCAATCTTTTACTATTTTTAGAATAGCAATAAGTCATTCAATGAGTTAAAGTCTAATTCATCCATGGAGGTTTGGTAAAATTGAGACTCTAGAGAGTACTAATATAAAAAATAAAAAGTAATATAGTATAAACTTTGTATTTTTTTATTATCTTATAGTTTTGTTTTTATGAGTATATTATTTATATTAAACAGTCATATAATTATTTTATTATAGTTAAATAAGATACAAATAATTTGCTTTTTATACTATTCAATAATCTATAAATTCTTAAATAGCATGAATAATTATTTATCCTGATTGTTCCTAAATATTCTTCTTATTTTAATAAATAAGTTCACATTAATGCAAGGATAAGCTAGTATTTAAAATTTTTTTAAAAAAATTATAGATAATAAAAGTTTTATTGATAAAGAAAACTGAAATTTTCAAGTTTCAATTTTACTTAAATAAAGTTTTTAAAGAAACTTTTTTGATTTTGATTAGATAAATCCTTTTAGTATGGTATTAACACAGAAAATATGATAAGTAAATTTATATATCTATTGAGAAATAAGTTTTACAAATATTCTTGAAAAAACCTGACTATTTGAAAATAATTAAGTTTTTCAGATGATTGAAAATTAGAAAATATTTTAATTAGGTAGATTCCTTTTGAGAAGAAATTGTTGAATTAATTAAAACCCTTTTAAAGAAATCTTGAATTGATCTTTTTTTTTCCTTTTCCAATTTAACTTACTTTTCAGGATAATTTATAGCGACAAACTGTTAATGATAGATAGAAGTTGAATACCAAATTATCAGGGAATGAAATATTATTCCCTAAATTTGACTTAGAGTATTTAATTTAAACTTTGTTTTGTTTAGTTCAAATTAATTTAATAGTGTAATCCTTCAACTAATAATATGCAATGTCAAGTTAGCTGTCATGCGAATAGCCCATGTAACATTGTGGATGTTTATTTAATGTCCGATGAAGACAGGCCAAGATGGTTAAAAAAGTTATTTATAAAAATAAAAAGATAAGATAATATTAATATCAATCCACTTTAAAAATTTCATTATGCAATAAATATCAATTATCAAATTATTTCATATTTTTATTTTATTTTTTATTTCATCCCTTTATAATTTTAAGAATGGAAGAATATCGGATACTATGCGGAAGATGGATTACATCGCATTCGTGCGAGTGGTGGATTGTATAGGTTTCGTTGAATTAAACAGCCACTTTCTTCTGCGCGGTCGTCGGAAATGCGGAACGAGCGAAGCAATTCGTTCATCTCGTCTCCATCTATAAATTCGGAAAAGCAAAACCTATATATATATATATATATATATATATTGGTTTGTTTTACCTTTGACGAATTCTCCAGTAAAATGTTGCAAATCACAAACAAATCTTAAAATCATTTCTTTCCAATAGTATACAAACAAGTCCAAACTATGTGATTTTGATTGCGATCGAACCAACATCAAATACCATGAGATGAAATGTAGATGCCGGATCATCGAAAACATCAAATGAATGGTCGAGTGATCATGATAGTAAACAACAAAAACAAATTCAATCAAAGAAATGTTGAAATTTAATCGTACGAATCAATTTATTCAATATCTGTAGAAAATGTTTTATCCAAACAACTAACTCGATAGCCACAGCTTTATATGAAATTCGAAAAAATTAATCCTGTTTTAGCTGGGACATCACATAATTTCTTCATAATATAGTTGCTTCAAGTAATCACAATAGCGTCCATACAGACGCTGCAAATATAAAGTTGAACAATTGTTACGTACAGTACATGAATGAATATTATGGATATTTGTTATGATTTTTTTTTTTTTTTTTTTTTTTGATTTATGATTATATACATGAGTACACGTGAAAATAAGCGTTTGGTGATGAATTTTTTATACTGTATGTATGAAGGTGGTTCACATCAAGGGACATATCATTACCATAACGGGTATGACGCCAAATTGATGATCTTTGGAATGTATCGTCTTGCCTCTTCCACCACGCTCGCCGAATACTTGATTCCAAATCCCCAAAGCTTCAGGCATTTCAAACGCACGCCTCTCATCTTGGCGTAGTCGATTACGACTCTTAGAAATTCGTCGTTTGAATGATCCACCCTCAGCACGAGTTCACGAAATTTGGCGGGACACTCCTCCAAGAATGTGGCTAGCATTCTTGGAGTCAGGTCAAAGGTGATCTCCAGATTGTTCAAGGTGGGTGGCAGTGAATGTGCCACTCGTCTCACGAGTTCCATGGAAAATGGTAGGCTGTGATCCTCCCACAGGAACAGATACTCTAGCGGCAACGCGTATAGAAATGGAATCAGGTTATATATGGAGGACGTGGACATCGTCAGATACAAATCCATTATGCTCGGGCAGCATTCGCCTATGACATCCAGTAGCTCGGGGGTTGCCTCGAATATCATCAGCGCACGCAAATTTTTATTTGCCATCCTCATTATGATACTCAACGTCTGCGTCACCAATTCCGGATCGCTCTTGGCGTCATAGGAGATGAGCTTCCTGATGCTTAGTGGTTTGATCAGAGATGATCTTCGCATGCTATCGGCGAACGCAAGAGATTCCGAACTTGACTCGGGAACCGTGAGAAACTCCAATGTTTCCAGGTTGGTGCAATTCGTTAGCACTCGGAGCAACAGGTCGAATTGCGAAAAGTTTGTTAGGGTCAGGTGAGTGAGGGAGCGCAATTGACTTTGCAGGGACTGATAAAACTCCAACGAAAACGAAGAATCCTCCCAAAATTCTTCGATATCCAGGAATTTTAGACAACTCTGGGATTCGATCAGCTGGAATATAGGAATGCACACGGTCAGCGAGGGAGGAGACCAATGGTTCGGATCGATGGAAATGGAAATGTGGTTGAGCGACCGGGTGAAAAAGGATAGTTGAGTGCAAATGCGAGCTTTGTGGTCAATGTTCAATGGCCACCTCTCCTCGTCATCGTTGTCGAATTTCAATTCAAATTTCTCCAAATTCTCGAACGCCCGATGATTGCCGACGAATGTGGTGATATTCATCAAGCAAGTATCCTCAATTTCGCCACAATCTATCTTCAACACACGTAATCCCGTGGTTCTGCTGAACAATAGATTTCCTATGATCCTATTCAATACTTTTACTTTAATCACAAATTCCAAATCAATAGTGTCACACAGAAACAGTAGCCAGTCTTCGATGGAGCGATTGAAGTTCTCGGAGTCGAATCCGCGGAGGTAGCGCGGGTAATCGAATAGTGGATTGGCCATGTCCGGAAGGCTGATATCGTGGTTGATGAGAATTTCCTTGTCCTTGAAGGCAAGACAGGAGATATAGGTTTGGATGATGGTAACCTGTTTTCCGAAAAGCTGGTTTTCGAATGGGCGTCGCCATAATAATGGGATGGAGAGCTGACTGAAAACTCGGTTCACCATCGCGCAAGAGAATAATGTTGCACGATCGTCCTTGAGATGTTCAAAGATATCGATCAGACAATCTAGCGCCAGTGGATACGGAATAGTGTGCTGGGTTTTCGCGAGTTCGTTGGCACGTGGTGATGATGTTGACGAAGGTGGGTGAATCGACGAATACCCCATTTTCACCGGTACTCGTGTCATATTTATTGTTACTTAAGGTTTAACGCGTTGCAATTGACGTTGAGATGAATGTAATTCTTTTTGTTTACTAGAAAGAAATATCAAAAACAATAAAAAAAATAAAAATAAAAATAATGTGGGGTAAATATGTTCGTAATGTAATTCGTTTACTCCATACAATGCATTACTAATTACTCGTTAAGATAATAAATAATTGCGTCTGTTTCTTGAAAAAAATTTTTTTTTTTTTTTTTTTTTTTTTTTTTTTTTGTGGGTTTAACCTTCGCGGCAGATTGATGGGATCAATTATAACTTTGGAAAAAAAAAAATAATAATGACGACAGTTAATTTGATTGGACTTATATACGAGCGTATATCACGGTAATTAACACACAGGAAAAATGAACATGTGCCACCTTTTTGAGACGATATGTAATAGGCGCTCGGTTAAATAAGAGAGAGAAAAAAAAAAATTTTTTTTTCCGCCACTAAAATGAATAAGTCAATCATCTACGTACGAAAAAACCTCTAAATTGGACCACGAGAAAGCGATCATTCGCATGTACCACATATTAATAACAATAAGAGAAAAAAAGGTACGCGGGCTAGGTGTTTAAAAAAAAGATCAATCATCCGGAATCATGTGTGCATGCTCAATGACACACTGTATGGTGGTGGTAGCAACTGTGCATGAAGGTGTACGTACGTATCATATTTTAAGAGAAAAAAAAAAAATGCCTAGCTAAGCAAAATTGCTGTGATTTGTTTTGATTCTTGTGATGTTGTCGATCACAACAGTGCGTATCTGGTATCGCGGTTCGTGAGGATTTGTTTTCGTAATGCGAGAGGCTTTGGTGACATTTTCATTTTCGAACTCATCTTCCGCATCCATAGTAGGCAATCCATTACCCATCACATATTGGGTTCAATTATTGTCGACAATCCCGTTTTTCAGAGTGGTTCACAGATTTGTGCGTACATGAAAAGGGAAAAAAAAAAAAGATTTTTGCTGATGATGGGCACGCATTGTGGGATGTTCATATTAATCGTTACATCTTATGCTGAAACGTGGCTAGCCTATCAATTGAATTGAAAAATGGAACACAAGACGTAGCTGAGCATTGTATGTCATGCACGTTGGCTGATGTTTTTCTCTTTGTTATCACATGATTGAACATCCCGCGATGCGTGTACGCACTTACTGTAGGTGGCAAGAAACCTTTCTTCAAGATCAATCCAACAACCCCTGATAGAAAACACCATGTATGTGTTATTAAGTGAACCTGTTTTTCTGACCAACTTATAATGATGTTAACGATCAGCAATTGGTTTCGGCGAAGCTTGAACAAGCCGCAATGTCAGAGGACTTCTTCTATGTGATGCGAGACATCTATTTTAATTAGTTTTTGACTGAAGGTCGTACGTGATCCCGAGAAATTAATGAACTCACAAATAAAGAACTAATGTACAATATATGTCAGTCCGCACTATTGTTGTTATCTAATTTAGAAGGTAATCAATTTTGGCGAATTTCGGTTAATGACGAAGCCTCATCTGTTAGTTTCGCAATTCCTTGACAAAATCACACTGCCATTTACACTGTATGCAACGGAAAATAAACAATCAAGTTTTGTTGATCAACCGGTTCAGCTAATTGCGTAGCAATGCATCTACGTACGCATCAATAACAGATGACAATAATAGTACGCATTATTATTCTCCGTGTACAATGAAAGAAGGGTATGGTGTACGTAGCGTATAAAACCACAAAGAAAACAATGGCGAAGTAAAATAATGTCACTTTCGCATCATGATTACGAGAGGTTAGAAAGGATTCAAATTATCTGTATTCGAATTCCTGCTGTTACCTGTAGAATTGCTTATATAAATAATCGAGGCTAAGCAGGACGATTGTCGAGCGCGTAAATCTTGGAATTGGGATGCATGTGAGGCGAGAGAATGTGGGGTATCTACATAGTTTTACATTGCCTCAATTGATAGAATAGAAGAATAAATATGTGCTTACGTGTTTCACCTTTATCTTGCCTTTTTCACAAAAAAAAAAGATGGCATTCATATTTAACTATAATGGGGTTATTGAAAGAAAGTGGTATTGTTAAAAAAAATTTTTTTTTTTTTTAATCAAATGTTATTCTTTGATAAAATGATAACATCAAATTATTATTATTATTTTTTTCTTAAGCATTTCAAAAACAAATGCGGAATATACAGTACCATACAAATTTGTATTTAACGAATTAGTGATAAAAAACAATTGTTAGCATCGTAAATAACAAAATGATAAAAAAGACCTTGCTGATATTTAAAACCACATGCGCTTTATATGATTTATAAACTAATATGTCAAATCTTATTGTACATATTTTTACATCACATTAATTCATATACTGTAAATTTGATTTTTAGAACATTAATAAATATACACATTATACTTATATATGCTATATACAGTATAAAAGAAGTATTAATATTATTTATATAAGAGATAGTGATTATTAATTTTATTTTATTTATTTATTTTTTATTTATTTTTTTATTTTATTTTATTTTTTTTTTTACATTGCTTGTTATCAGTCCAAATAGTTTGTTTATTAATTTAAAAAATATAAAGTATATATTTACTTAAGCAATATAGCATATACTATAGCTAAATATTAAATCATATTTAATTAACCTATTATAGGTATAAACATTTTTTAAGTTTAACTTTGAAAATAATATTTTGTTCTATAATACTATATATTTTGAATAAAAATCCTTCTAGTTTATACATTATAATCAACAAGTTATTACTGCCATATATTCTTAACTATAACTAAAAAATTGAAGCTTGGTATAAATAAAAAACTATTTAATCTTACTGTATAATTAGAATAAAAAAAAAACCTTAATCTTGAATTTTGTTTAATATGAATAATTATTTTTAAAGATAATAAAAAAATTTTTAAATTTAAAATTGTAATACTAAAATTATATTTTAAAAATATAATTTAAAACTATAAAATTTTATGTTTATTAATTTTATTAATTTTAAGTATATTAAAAATTATAATAAAATTATAATAAAATTTTAAAAAACCATTAAATAAATTATAGAAATATAAATTAAATATAAAGTAAAACTTACTTATATAGAAGAAAATAATTAGACTAAAAGCTATAATAACTATTATTTATATTTTAAATTCTAAACTCTTTTTTATAATTTTCTTTTTTCTTAAAAATTTCTATTTTTAATAATTTCTTTGAAAAAAAAAAATCAACTCAAATAACATTATATTATTTAAGTTAATAACTAAGTAACAAATTATATAATATTTAATTATATTTAAAAAAACTTATCTATCTAATATAAAGTCTAAAAATTATGCTCTATTTTTATTTTATTTTATTTTTTTAAGAAAAAAGAAACTTATTAATAAATTAATTTATAGTAAGTAAAGAAGAGTCCAATATTGATTTTAAAATTTCTAATTAAACCAATAGTATTTTATATCTTTTAGATACTAAAAAAAAACTTTATAATCAATAAATTTTATTGTTAAATTAGAAAAAACTCAAAGTTTAAAAAGCTTTAAAAAATATCAAAAGCTTTTAAAAATTCAACAATAAAGTATTCAGGTTAATCAAACTCAAATATCATAAACTAAACATCAAAATAAATTTTATAAATATAAATATATTAGTAAATAACAAATATTAAAATAATATAATATACTATAGTCTACCAATATTCTATAAATAAAACAAATTAGATTTATGAATAAATATTATAATAGGAATACTTCTAGGTTACCAAGTATTGTTTTCAAGTTCAATATCACTATAAGGCAATACTATCCAAGCTTAGATAATATAAAAAGATTTTATTTACTCTATAATAATAATTTAATTATCTTGATTAAAATTTTATCTGATAATGAAATATTCAAAATATTAAAAGATACTTTAACTAATTTTAATACTAAAATTATTTTGTTATATAATGGATTCTATTAAGCTCTTATAAATAGGTTTAAGATCTATATGCTATAAAAATTACTTAATGAAATTTTAGTATATTAATTAAAAGATAATCTATATTAAATTTGATATTCATTCAAAACTTTATATAATAATTCCATAGGCAAGTTATAATAAGTCATAAAAAAATGATCTAATAGAATAAGATGATATTTAAAGACTTTATATAGATATTTTATAGATATACTTTTTTTTTTACTGATAATCATGTCACAATAGCTTGTCTTTATTGCAAAAATTGAAATAAATCTATAATATTTTACAGACTTTCACAAAGTGACTAACTCATCTTTATACAAAAGTACTCTAAGTCCGATTTTGAAAACAATATTACACTCCCCTAATAGATTGGTAATAATCTCTATTTATCAGGATCATTGCCAACAGTTTGTCACTTTTGATTGCCTGAAAATCAATGAATTGCTAAGTTAAAAAAAAGAAAGGGGAAAAATGATTGGGAAAGAAGACAATTCAAGACTTACAAAAAAAAAAATCCAAAAATAAAAACAAACACTTTTCAAAAGATATCTGCCTAATTGAAATAGTCTTCTTGCTTCACTAGAACCTTAGAAGAAATTTTCTTTTTTACTACCTGTGATATCGAATGAGTTAATCCAACTGGATTTCATTTAAGTGAGCACCAGATTAAAATATTTCAAAGAAAATATTTAGATCTCAGCTTTTTTCCATTAAAGCTTTGCTACCACTTGAGGAACTTAGGTAAAAGACAGAAGTTTGCAATTCATATTATCCATCATTTGATTTTTTGGTATCATAGAAATTTTTATTAAGGGACTTGAGCTTTTTTGAGACAAAGATTTCTGAAACCTTCTTTCCAATTACCAATGACATTATCAGAACATATGAATGTAACTAATAAAAGCTTGTTTATATTTCAAAATCAATATATTTTGTGTTAGCCAATTACCTTTGGTAAGAATTTGTATTACCAAAAA